GCATTTTGAAATCTATGGTTTCCGGCATATCTGGGTTAAGGTTATACTGGGGATTTACCAGACCTGTCAGTCTCTAGCTTTCTCCCATATTTCATTGTATCATTCCGGTTATAATTAGTTGTCTGGTAAAATTAAGAACAGTCTACTTCGGCGAACGCTCATGCGAACATCTAACAACTTCTTGTCGCGATGACAGCTTTAGCGACAGAAAAGAATGAACCAGAAAGGGGAGGATGGCTGAAGGAACCCGGGGTCAGCTCGGCACTGCCAGCTCAAGCGAAAAAACTGCGGGAGGTTTTGCGTTTGTTTTCGTTTTTGCTGTTAATCGTCGGGCTCACATTTCTCGCCGGGCCACGTAGGCAGCGGCGTGCTCTGAACTGACCTGTCTTCCCTGCTACGGCCGCCTGGAAACTTCTCCGCTGATGAGCGTCGATTCAGCTGAGCAGCTCTGACATTCGGCTTGTCAGCGAAAGCTATTTTAATCATGAAGATGCATCTCCCTCCCAAGACTGCAAACTGTTGCTGCTCACACACGGCACTCCATCATTTGATTAACCGGGGAGAAGGGAGGAAGCCTTGAAGAGTCGCTATCACTCCGGGTCTTACCGAGAGAGAGCTGAAATTTCCGGAACGTTTAGCCGTGTGTGCGTGAGGAGCCGTGGCTTCGAGACTTACACGGATCGTGTCATTTAATCCTTACGACTGCGGGGTCTGACTACTTGAGTCCGCAACCCTGTTCTCTCTCTCTCTCTCTGTATGACCTGCAGCCCCCGCGTGTGACACGATCTCCTCACCTGTGAAATTCCTCACCTGTGAAATGGAGTGACAGTGCCTACCCCCAAAGGAATACTGGGAGGAGTAAACGAGACACGTGGTAAACAGCCCTTGGAGCAGCACCTGCGACATAGAGAGTTCTCACGGTGTTAGTGGCAATTTTTGTGCCCGTTTCTCAGATGAAGACAATCAATTCTCCTCCCCCCAATATTAGGCGTCCTCAAACTCTGGCCCGATGGCCACATGCGGCCCGCCTGCCCCATTTATCCGGCCCTCCGGGTGTGTTTGCCGCCGCTGCCTGTCCTGCTTAGCAGCCGACTCGTCCCGGGCCCGCAGTGCACACTCTCCAACAGTCTGAGGGACAGTGAGCTGGCCCCCCTGTTTGAAAAGTTTGAGGACCCCTGCAATCCTACTCATCTGGTCACTCCCAATTTTGCAATTAGCTCTCTCTGCTGCCCAGACTCAAAAGTTGGAGATAAGGGAAAATGAAAACTTCTTTCTCTCGGGGACATTTTCCCGAAGGCATTTAAACGTCGGCTCCACAGGAGGGAGCATCACAACTGCGGCAGGGTAATCCTTTTGTAGTCTGAGCCTTTTTAATTTGTTTTTTTTCCCCTGTTCTTTCTTTCTCCACTGTAGCCGTTTCCCATTTAGGCAGCCAGCCCTGTGTTCTGGCGAATCCCTGGTCAGATGGGACGGAAGTGAAGCTTTAGACACGGTCTGGGGGGTTTCAGAGGAAGGGGGTCACTTTTTCCCGGCTCCGATGAGAAGCGTAGTGGCGACAAGGCGACAGAAACCCACGGGTCCCCACGCCCGGGTCTGCGAGAGAGCAGAAGAAACGCGTGTCGTGTGTTTATGCGGACGGCCTCGGGTATTCTCGCAGAGTTCGCTGTGTGGTGCCCGGAGGGAGAACAGAATGAGCCCCCGCTCCCGGCTGGGTGTGGAGACAGAACGTCCCGCAGTCTGGAGAACCGTGAAGGCGGCTCCCTACCGTGGCAGGAACTGTGCTGTAAGGTCGCCCAAGCTCCTTCTTTTCCCCCCGTGGGGAACAAACCTGCCACGTTTCCCAGCCTCCCCTGCACTGAGCTGGGGGACTGGGACTGACTTTAAAAACCTCGGTGAACCACTACGTGCATCTCTTTTGATTGCGAATGCAGGCTGGGATGCATGGGGTTAGCCATACTCGTGACTGTGTCACCGACAAAAATCACACGTGTTTTCACGTCTTAGCTATTGAGGGTACCTCGAATGTTGTTTATACTCAAATTTGCTTCGAGATAACATTAGTTATTAGACCCGCTGCTAGGGTTTTCATCTCATATGCTACTAAACACATATTACTACAACAAAAATATCAAAAACACACACACAAAACTAATCTCAGTAAAATTGTTTTCCTTCGTTAATCCCATATAATTTTTACAACTCTTATTTTTTAAATTTTTTTTATTCATTCATTCATTCATTCATTCATTCATAGACAGAGTCTCCCTCTGTCACCCAGGCTAGAGTGCCGTGGCATCAGCCTCGCTCACAACTCCTGGTCTCAAGCGATCCTCCTGCCTCAGCCTCCTCCTGAGTAGCTGGGACTACAGGCATGCGCCACCATGCCTGGCTAATTTTTTCTATATATTTTTAGTTGGCCAATTAATTTTTCCTTTTCCTATTTATAATAGGGATGGGGGTCTCGCTCTTGCTCAGGCTGGTTTCAAACTCCTGACCTCGAGCCATCTGCCTGCCTCGGCCTCCCAGAGTGCTGGGATTACAGGCGTGAGCCACGGAGCCCAGCCCAGATCTTTAACTCACAGGCTTCATTTGCAAGGTTCTCTTTCATAACCAAAGAAAACGTTGCGTTCTGATGCTTTAATGACTCTGAACGATTTGTTGACAGACCTGAACCCACCAAGCAGTTTCCTGAAAGCTCAAGTAAAGGAAGGAAGGGTGTGAGGGTCGTTCTCTATAGCCACCTCCTTTCCCCGAAAATGAGGCAGGGTCTTCTATTTATTTTTCCTCAAGAAGACACCCCAGGGCTTATTTTCAGGGGATGTGTGTGTGTGTTTTTTTTTAAGCACAGTACAACCATCTACATTGATTCAAATAGAGTGAAGTCGTCTTCTTCTGGAACATCATCCTCACTCTCCAGACCCTGAATCCCATCCTGAATGTCTTGCGACTCTGTTTCCTTTAGAGCCACCGGCCCCGATCTCTCCTGTCGAGCACTAGAGCTCTCACGGGGCTGATGAGAAGGGCTGCTCGTGTTCTTTCCCGCTCCGGGATGACATGCACGGGTTGTGCAGATGCGATGCGCAGCCACGCCCATCACTAGGGCTGATTTTCATAGCCACGCCCACCACTAGGGCTGATTTTCATAGCCACGCCCATCGCCAGGGCTGATTTCCATAGCCACGCCCATCACCAGGACTGATTTCCATAGCCACACCCACCACTAGGGCTGATTTCCATAGCCACGCCCACCACTAGGGCTGATTTCCATAGCCACGCCCATCAGCAGGGCTGATTTTCGGGGTAGGGCTTCTATTGCACACATGCTTAGACATCCTGCTGGGGCTTATTTGATGGGGAGGGCTCATTTTGGGGGAAACACGGTAGTACAAGTTTATTCACGCCATCAACAATCCTCGCTTTGGTCTTTCCAGGACTATGCTTAGGCAAAAAGCATTCAGCCCATTCAGAAACAAAACAAAACAAAACATAAGTTGTCCTGTGTGGAAAAAAACAATGCCATTACAAAAAAAAAGCAACGCCGGAGGCTCCCACAATTTCAGTGTTTCCAAAACCATTGCTGCAGCTAAATCAGCATTACCCTGGAACCACTTAAGAACTTGCTAGTCTATGCCCCAGGGGGATGTTAGTGTTGTTATTTATTTTACTTTCATTATCTACATAGGGGCAGCCCAAACCGGGTAGGGTCGCTGTGTATCATTCTGCCTTCTCCGGGTAGGAAGCCGGGAAAAGAGGATGGAATGGAAACAAACACGGCCAGTCTGTGGACAGCGCTGCAAAAGTCAGACGTGATTTCTTATTTTCTCATTGCTCCAACTGCCATCACCCAGTTTCGAGAGGCAGGCAGTCAGCGTGCCGGGGTGCTGGAGAGAGATCACTCAGGTAAGCTGGGGCCGCTCCTTCTGCTCCTCCATCTGCTCAGCTGTTAACACAAAGACATATGGACAGAAGCTCAAGGAAAACATGGAATATTTCATCGGCAAGATTGTGCGGCCCTGGAGACAGATGTTAGAAGGCCGTAATATTTTAAAATAAAGAGATATATAAACACGTTGCTTGAGAGGAAAGAATAAAACAGTTTTAGGGTTAAGAGAGAAAATTAAAAAGGAAAAAAAAAAAGGAGAGGTGAAAAGATAGATCGTATCATATCGTATTGGCACATGAAGTTGCAAATCCTTTTTATGTAGGGGGAAAAAAAAAACAACTTTTGTATCTGCCTCAGGCAGTCATTTACCATTAGGTAGACATTCTCAGAGTGCACTGGGGTAGATTTGTAAGAAGCGCTTAGCAGGGATGATTATGATTACAGAGAACGGATTTATCTCTTGTTGTTATTAGATGGTTAATGTTAGGGCTTGGACTTAAATCCGTATATATTAGTTTTCGTAAGAATCTAAACATGAAAAACGTCACATACTTTGGCAATTCACATTCAGTAAACATCAGAACAACATTAAGCCGCGACAGCCCCGGATTTATCCAGTGACTCCCACTGCAGAGGTCAGAGCACTTTGTCTCCGCTTATTTCTGCTGAGAGAAATATAATAAGAGGGGGTTATAATTGCAGGTACTACAAATATTTACGTTCGGCACACAGTTGCGAAGATGGAGCTAACATTTTTAAACAGCAGACGCTCAACACTTTTCTGAAATTCTGCTCAAATGGTAGCGTGTCTGCAAGTGAAACGCAGTCATTAATAGGAAAGGGGACGGAACTCTGGCTTTGAACGCAAACAGACTTGGGTTCAGATCCTGGACGTTCACTTCACCTCTCTGAACTTCAGTTTCCTCGTTTATGAAACGGGGAATAACAATGATAACAACACCTACTTCGGGAGGTTGCTTGAGAGGAGTAATAATAGTAAGAATAAAGGTTACAGCATCGTGCATGGACATTACAGGTGAGACTCGATGAATGGAAATTTACATATTACAAAAAAAACCAAAAACCAAACAACAAAAAACAAACGGACACAAACAGGCCGATTAGAGATTCCAATTTAATTACTGGTTGTCCTTTTCTTCAATCTCCGAGTTCTGATTGCATACTTAGAAGCCCCTTGTCCCCTTCATCCAGGGGGAAGGGGACAAAGAATTGTCCTCAAAAAAGTGGGGGGAGGGACAGGAAAAGGGGGGAGGCAGCTCCCAGAGAGAGGAAGAGGAAGGAGAAAACTCTCTGTCAGAAGAGAAGAGGAAGGTGGGGAGTTGGGGATGGGAGGGTGTGAGGTCTGACTTGATGGCCCCGACTACCCCCTCCAGGAGCAAAACCCAGGTGAGTGATGGCAAAGGCCGAAACCTCGGGAAGCTCCGAGAATCTGGCATTTCTGGGGAGGAGAACAGTTTTGCAGGACGACAACCACACCCCGAAAACACAGGACGGCCACACACAAAAACAAAACGGGCGAGCAGGCAGGCCGAGGGAGGTTCTATGGTCCGTGGGCGGCAGGTCTCCGGCTCCCTCAGCTCTGGGGCCGCGGGCTCCCCCGCGCAGGTGTTGGTGGCTGCTGTGGACAGTCAAGAGCGAGAAGCCATCGGGGCCGCTTGTGCGCCAAGGGGCGGACGACAGGCCAAGCCGGGGTTCGGAGGGGAGGCCCGGTCGGGGCACGAGGCCCCGCAGTGCTGTCTGAGAAGTGAGAGAAGAAGAAAAAAAACAAAAACAAAAACAAAAACGAGTGAGCAAGGGAAGGGTTACGGGCTCTGCCAGCTCTCTGGGAAAAAAAAATATATATATATTGATCTAATCGACAACAGGCTGCAGCCGCGTGCTTCCCAGCACCGGGTCTGGACGGGATGGCTCTCCAAGTGGAAGTCAGTGAGGTTCAGATCACTGCACAGAGACCCGCCCAACACCTGGACCCGGTGCTCCCTCTCCTCCCCGCCGGGGGACAAACCAACTTTTCCTGACACCCGAAGGCCACTTCTGCCAGCAGAAAGAGGGAGGAAGGAGAATACTGGAAGACTGAGATTGACGCAGAAGGATCTATTATTACAGACCTTATGGAAACTCGAGGCAGCGTTGCTCGCCGTCTGTACAATTCTACCCTGCCCTACGCTCCACTCCAAACAAGACGCATTCCAATTCTAAAGAAATGAAAGGCCTTTTTAGCTCTTGATAAGTTGGATGCGACGTGTCCAGTTCTACACATAAGCAATAGTTTCATTCTGTGAGACCTGGACAGGAAGCCGAAACACCCCACTGTGTCCCTGTATTCGTAATTTAAAGTGCCCTAAAATTACGTCAGCTAACAGGAAGCAGTGTCTTAATGCATACATTAGTTTTCCCTCCTTTCCTTTTAATTATTAGAGGATAATGATTTGGGAGGTTCGTCCATTCAGTAAAATATTTACTGGGTACCTACCATGAATGAATAATGTGATGGGCATTAAGGAAACAAGATAAACGAGACACAGACCCTATCTTTAATAAGTTAAAAAGGTTTGCGTGACGTGTGAATGGAATATTTAAGTTAAAGAGAGGCCAAGAGGATTGCTGCCCAATTTGACTGCAAACGAAACGGCAGCAGAGCCCCAAAACCGTGAAGATCCTGATCTTTTCTCATCCATCAAACTCACGACAAGTGACAAGACAGAGGCTACTTAGGCCCAGAGAATTCAAAGCATTTTCATACAAAACCGCCATTCCACAAGTCCGCTCCAGAATAACGAGGAATCAAGTTGTTCAGGAGGCAACACTGTGCAAAATCTTATTTATTTTTTTTTTTTAAAGTAAGTTCGCTACAACAGAAGAGGAAGAAGCTGTGGAGGAAGACGTCAGAAAAACTATCATCACCACCTCCTTGAATCTGTCATGAACACTGTTAATACAGGCGCCGAGAGTGATAATACTATATAACTAAACATTACATAGCTGTTTTAGTTATCTCAGTAAACACTGCGGAAATTTAAATTAAACCATAAAAGCCATATCACACTGTAATATTTTGTTGTTTGAGGGTGTGGACATTTTTCATTAAGATCCCTTTCAAATATGAATATTACCACCCTTAACTTTTTTTTTTACTTATTCACTATGAGTTATTTTTGTTGTTTGCTCTCTCTTTTTATTTTATTAGCGTATCATGGGGGTACAAATGTCAAGGTCACGTATATTGCCGTGCCCCTCCCCCCTCGAGTCAGAGCCTCAAGCGTGCCCATCCAGACGGTGCACGTCTCACTCGTCGGTTCTGTCTACACCCGTCTCCTCCCCTCCCACCTGCGACACCCGACAGATGTCACTCCTGTGTGTCCACTTAGGTGCTGATCCGTCAACACCAGTTTGCTGGTGAGCGCACGTGGGCTTGTGTTCCATTCTTGGGACACTTCCCTTAGTAGGATGGGCTCCAGCTCCAGCCAGAAGACACAAGAGGTGCTGGGTCACCGCTGATCTCCAGAGCTGAGTAGTGCTCCGTGGTGTACACAGACCACGTTTTATTCACCCTTAACTTCTTAGTTTGTTAAATTCCAATTTTTACATTACCGGTTTTCTTGAAAGGTGGGCTACTGAAGCCTGAGAAATAGATGCCAATGGCCAAGGACTCATGAAACACAAACAGAATTTCATAGTAAGTTGCTTTAAAAAAAAATCCTATGTTCTGAAGACATCAATCAACAGAAATGACGTTGCAGAATATTTCAGAAGGCTTTTTAACCCTGACCTTGGAACCGCTGTCCGTCACGGAATTCTCCATCTTCTACCTTCTTTACCCTTTCTCTTATAAAGCTCATCAGATTTTATACACCGAAGCACACAGCACGTAATTTAGGAAAAGCCTGTTTTTATCAGCTGCTTCTGACGAAGCCGGTATTTCAGCCATCCTAGACGTCACATCACACGCTGATTGAAGGGAGACACTGTCAGAGATGATAAATAAATTCAGCAAATGATTATCCGTCTGATTAGTATTTCAAAAACAGTATCTGTCTCTCCCAACCCCCTTTTTTTATCTTTACGGAGCACAACTGCATTTTGAAATCTATGGTTCCGGCATATCTGGGTTAAGGTTATACTGGGGATTTACCAGACCTGTCAGTCTCTAGCTTTCTCCCATATTTCATTGTATCATTCGGTTATAATTAGTTGTCTGGTAAAATTAAGAACAGTCACTTCGGCGAACGCCATGCGAACATCTAACAACTTCTTGTCGCGATGACAGCTTTAGCGACAGAAAAGAATGAACCAGAAAGGGGAGGATGGCTGAAGGAACCCGGGTCAGCTCGGCACTGCCAGCTCAAGCGAAAAACTGGCGGGAGGTTTGCGTTTGTTTCGTTTTGCTGTTAATCGTCGGCTCACATTTCTCGCCGGGCCACGTCGGCAGCGCGTGCTCTGAACTGACCCGCTCCCTGCTACGGCTGCCTGAAACTTCTCCGCTGATGAGCGTCGATTCAGCTGAGCAGCTCTGACATTCGCTTGTCAGCGAAGCTATTTTAATCATGAAGATGCATCTCCCCCAAATGCAAACTGTTGCTGCTCACACACGACACTCCATCATTTGATTAACCGGGGAGAAGGAGGAAGCCTTGAAGAGTTGCTATCACTCTGGGTCTTACCAAGAGAGAGCTGAAATTTCCGGAACTTTAGCGTGCCTGCGTGAGGAGCCGTGCTTCGAGACTTACACGGATCGTGTCATTTAATCCTCACGACTGCAGGGGTCTGATACCTGAGTCCGCAACCTGTTCTCTCTCTCTCTCCTGTATGACCTGCAGCCCCCGCGTGTGACACGATCTCCTCACCTGGAAATTCCTCACCTGTGAAATGGAGTGACAGTGCCTACCCCCAAAGGAATACTGGGAGGAGTAAACGAGACACGTGGTAAACAGCCCTTGGAGCAGCACCTGCGACATAGAGAGTTCTCACGGTGTTGTGCAATTTTTGTGACTGTTTCTCAGATGAAGACGATCATTCTCCTCCCCCAATATAGCGTCCTCAAACTCCGGCCGATGGCCACATGCGCCCGCCTGGCACATGTATCGGCCGCCAGGTGTGTTGCCGCCGGCTGCCTGTCCTGCTCAGCAGCTGACTCGTCCCGGGCCCGCAGTGCGCACTCCTCCAACGGTCTGAGGCCAGTGAGCTGGCCCCGTTTGAAAAGTTTGAGACCCTGCAATCCTACTCATCTGGTCACTCCCAATTGCAATTAGCTCTCTCGCTGCCCAGACTCAAAAGTTGGAGATAGGGAAAATGAAAACTTCTTTCTCTCGGGGACATTTTCCCGAAGGCATTTTAAACGTCGGCTCCACAGGAGGGGCATCACAAACGCGGCAGGTAATCCTTTTGTAGTCTGGCCTTTTTAATTGTTTTTTTTCCCTGTTTTCTTCTCCACTGTAGCCGTTTTCCCATTTAGGCAGCCAGCCTGTGTTCTGGCGAATCCTGGTCAGATGGGACGGAAGTGAAGCTTTAGACACGGTCTGGGGTTCAGAGGAAGGGGGTCACTTTTTCCCGGCTCCGATGAGAAGCGTAGTGGCGACAAGGAACAGAAACACCACGGGTCCCCCGGGTCTGCGAGAGAGCAGAAGAAACGCGTGTCGTGTGTTATGCGGACGCCTCGGTATTCTCGCAGAGTTCGCTGTGTGGTGCCCGGAGGGGAACAGAATGAGCCCCCGGCTCCCGGCTGGGTGTGGAGACAGAACGTCCCGCAGTTGGAGAACGTGGGCGGCTCCTACCGTGCAGGAACTGTGCTGTAGGTCGCCCAAGCTCCTTCTTTTCCCCGGGGACAAACCTGCCCACGTTTCCAGCCTCCCTGCACTGAGCTGGGGGACTGGACTGACTTTTAAAAACCTCGGTGAAACTACGTGCATCTTTTTGATTGCGAATGCAGGCTGGGATGCATGGGTTAGCCATACTCCGTGACTGTGTCACCGCAAAAATCACACGTGATTTCACATTCTTAGCTATTGAGGGTACGCGAATGTTGTTTATACATCAAATTGCTCGAGATAAACATTAGTTAGTAGACCCGCTGCTAGGGTTTCATCTCATATGCTACTAAACACATATTACTACAACAAAAATATCAAAAACACACACAAAACTAATCTCAGTAAATTGTTTTCCTTCGTAATCCCATAATTTTTACCACTTATTTTTTAAATTTTTTTTATTCATTCATTCATTCATAGACAGAGTCTCCCCTGTCACCCAGGCTAGAGTGCCGTTGGCATCAGCCTCGCTCACAATCTGGTCTCAAGCGATCTCCTGCCCAGCCTCTCCTGAGTAGCTGGGACTACAGGCATGCGCCACATGCCTGGCTAATTTTTCATATATTTTAGTGGCCAATTAATTTGCTTCAAATTTTATAGAGAACGGGTCTCGCCTCTTGCTCAGGCGTTTCAAACTCCTGACCTCGAGCGATCCTCCTCCTCGGCCCCAGAGTGCTAGGATGACAGGTGTGAGCTACCACGCCCGCACAACATCAGTCTTTTTTTTTTTTTTTTTTTTTGAGACAGAGTCTCGCTTTCTTGCCTAGGCTAGAGTGAGTGCCATGGCATCAGCCTAGCTCACAGCAACCTCAAACTCCTGGGCTCAAGCAATCCTCCTGCCTCAGCCTCCCGAGTAGCTGGGACTACAGGCACGAGCACCATGCCCGGCTGATTTATAATTATATATTTAGTTGGCCAATTAATTTCTTTCTATTTATGGTAGAGACGGGTCTCGCTCAGGCTGGTTTTGAACTCCTGACCTTGAGCAATCCGCCCGCCTCGGCCTCCCAGAGTGCTAGGATTACAGGCGTGAGCCACTGCGCCCGGCCAACATCAGTCTTTTTAAAAATACTTTTTAGTGGCTTCTTATTATTAATTAATAAGTATAATAGTTGTTTTTGCTCTTTAACTTTTCATGTGAATCTTCACATATTCAAAAAAGTAAATAGCTTAAGGAACCCCTAAGCACCCATTTCCAAAATTCAATAATTACATGTTGTCATTTTTATTTCCCCTCCAACCTTTTTGCCTTTTGCTAAAGTATTTTAAAGCAAATCCTACCCATCATGTTATTTCAGTAGTTATCTCTAATACATGAGGACTTTAAAACACAATACTATTACCATTTTGCTCACCTAAATTATTAATATTCCTTAATAGAATATACTCCATGTTCCTATTTTGCCTGTCTCAAAAATGTCTTATACTTGGTTTGTTTGAATCAGTATCCGAACACCGTCCATAATAGTTAAGTTTGGTTAATATATCTGTAAAGTGTGTTTTAATAGAAAATTCTTTTTTTTTTTTTTAATATGATATTTGTCTGTGAAGAAGCAAGGTCACTTGTTCTGTAGAAATTCCCTCATTCTGGATTTGGCTGTTTGCATCATGGTCTAGCTTAATAAGTCCTTCTGTTTTCTATAAAAATGGTAGCTCGATTTCATACGTACATATAATCTTCTTTTGGCAAGAGTATTTTATAGGTGGTGCCGTGCCTTCATACTGCATTAGAAGGTGTGTAATAGTTACCCTCGTGTTTAGTGATGTTAAAGATCGAAAGCTGCCTTCAACTGTCGTGGGCCTGATCCACCACCATAAAACGCTCCAACTTTCCCCTAACAGTGTTTTAACCATTGGTGGCTGCTGGCTCGATCCGGTTATTTCAGCAAGAGTTGCAAAACGGTGATTTTATAATTCCATCACTGAATTCTGCCAAGAAATTTCTTTCATCAACTACATGGTAACCCTTGAAATATAACTTGTCCTAAAAAAAAAAGCAGGATAAATGCTTGTTTCTTTAAAATGAATTTAATCTACTTTCAAACATGAGTTTGGTGTCCCGTTAGCTTCTTAAACTTCCAACAGAGAACTGAGAGTCTTCCTGCAACACACCCTACACTGCTCCCTAAGGTAGTCCGGTCATTTTCACTGTGAAACCTATCGTGTTTCCCCAAAAATAAGACAGGGTCTTCTATTTCTTTTTCCTCCAGAAGACACCCTAGGGCTGATTTTCAGGGGATGCGTTATTTTTCTTAAGTACGGTAAAACCATCTACATTGATTCAAATAGAGTGAAGTCATCATCTTCTGGAACATCATCCTCACTCTCCAAACCCCTAATTCCATCTTGAATATCTTGTGACTCTATTTCGTCTAGAGCCACCGGCCCCGATCTCTCCTGTCGAGCACTAGAGCTCTCACGGGGCGGATGGGAAGGGCTGCTCGTGTTCTTTCCCGCTCCGTGACGACATGCATGGGTTGTGCAGATGCGCTCCGTAGCCACGCCCGTCACTAGGGCTGATTTTCATAGCCACGCCCGTCACTAGGGCTGATTTTCATAGTCACGCCCACCACTAGGGCTGATTTTCATAGCCACGCCCACCACTAGGGCTGATTTTCATAGCCACGCCCATCACCAGGGCTGATTTTCAGGGTGGGGCTTCTCTTGCACACGTGCTTAGACATCCTGCTGGGGCTTATTTTATGGGGAGGGCTTAGTTTCAGGGTAGGGCCTCTATGGCACAAATGCTTAGACATCCTGCTAGGGCTTATATTATGGGTAGGTCTTGTTTTCAGGGTAGGGCTTCTATTGCAAAAATGCTCAGACATCCTGCTCAGACATCCTGCTGGGGCTTATGTTATGGGTAGGTCTTGTTCTATTGCACAAATGCTTAGAAATCCTGCTGGGGCTTATTTTATGGGTAGGTCTTGTTTTCGGGGTAGGGCTTCTATTGCACAAATGCTTAGACATCCTGCAGGGTGTATCTGTGTAGCTCGTATTTTCCGGCGCGAACCACAGTCGCAGGGCAGAAAGAATCGCGATCACTGCTCGCGGTCCGCCCGCGCTGCCGCAGGGATTCGCCTCGTAGGCTTCTTCTCTTTTTCTCGCCCACCTCTGTTTCCGCGCCTAGAGTGAGCTGCCTGGTCCGTCGCCTCAGACTCACAGCAACCTCCAACCTCCTGAGGCTCAAGCGATCCTCCTGCCTTCAGCCTCCTCCCCGCCTACGGACCAAGAGGCCCTCCGCCACGGCGCGCGCCCGGCTCACTTTTTTCCTATGTTACACATTTTTTAGTGCCAACTTAATTTCTTCCTATTTATAGTAGAGACGGGTCTCGCTCTTGCTCAGGCTGGTCTGGAACATCCTGACTCGTTTGCAATCTCCTGCCTCGGCCTCCCAGAGTGCTGGGATGACAGGCGTGAGCCACCAACCACCACCCCCCCCATCCCCAGCCAGCATGCAGGACTTAGGGTTTAGGAGGAGGGGGAGACAGGGGTCCAGCAAAGAGAGACTACCTGGAGCCGGCTCTAGGATGCGGAATCCGCGTCTTCTGAGCTGTCCTGGGCGTCCGTGCTCCCCGCGGACTCGTGGCGGGGCCCTTTGCCGCCGCCGTCGTGGTCACTGCCGCTGTCCCCCGCGGCCAGGTCCCCGTCCCGCCGTCGCCGCGGGGGCGGCCTCCTCCGCTCGCAGACCTCCTCCTCTTCCTCCTCCTCCTCTTCTTCTTCTTCTCCTTCGGATCCAGGCGCCCGCGGCGGCGGCGCCGCCTCCCCGCAGCAGCCGGGCTCCCCGCAGCACCCGCCCTCCTTCTTGAGCTCCAGCCGGCGCCTCAGCTCCTCGGCCATCGGCGACAGGTCCCGCCGCATGGCGTAGGCGTCCTCCCCGTCCGCGTAGTAGCGGGGCTCCACCTCGCTCACCTGGAAGTTGAGCGTGTTGGCGTACAGGTGCAGCGCCGCGCGGTTGCTCTTGCGCACGTGCAGGGACACGTACTTGGCGCCGAAGTTCTCGATCATGGCCCTGCAGGCCTGGTCCATGAGCTTCTGGGCCAGGCCGAGGCGCCGGTGCGAGCGCTTCACCGCCAGCGACGTGATGTGCCCGTGGGGGGCGTCGTCCGGGTCCTCCTCCATCTTGGCCAGCACGTAGCCCACGATCTTGCGCTGCTCGTCCTCCGCGATGTACGACAGCTGCGGCCACGACAGGCCGTGGTAGAAGTAGTACTTCATCTGGTAGTTCTCCGGCAGGCACAGCAGGTTGCAGTGCTGCATGTTCATCAGGTCGTCCGGGCGCGCGCTGCGGATGTTCATGGCGGCGGCGGCGGGAGCCGGGGTGGCCGCGGGGACGGGGGTCGAGGAAGGGGAGGAGGAAGAGGAGGAGGAGGCCAGGCGGCCTGTGGCGGTGGCGGGCGACCGGGGACGCGAAGAAGAAGCGACCCCCGCAAGGGGACACTGCTGTCCCTGCGGAGGAGCTGGGCCGCACGGAGGGGAAAACAGGACGGCGGGAAGGCGGGATGAAAGGAGAAGCGGAAGTTGGAGGGGCGCTTCCGGAAGTGCGTCACGTCACCCGAGCCAATGAGGCTTGCGCCGCCTCGTGCGTGCCGGGGTGCACGTGAGGTTAGAGGGTAGGGGGAGAGGCGTTCCGCCGTGAAGTTATTTGGATGAGAGCGTTCGACCCAGTGCTCGTGGTGGCCCTGTGTTTCCCTTTTTAGCTTTGCTCTTTGGGAGACATGGGCAGGGAGGGCGAGGAGATGGAGAGGGGGTCACACGGCCTGAGGCGGGCGAATGGGGACACCGCCTTCCCCTGGGGAGGAGCTGGGCCGCACGGAGGGAAAGTAGGATGGCGGGAAGGCAGGAGGAAGCAAGAAAGCGGAAGTTGGAGGGGCGCTTCCGGAAGTGCGTCACGTCACCCGAGCCAATGAGGCTTGCGCCTCCTTGTGCGTGCCGGGGTGCACGTGAGGTTAGAGGGTAAGAAGAGAGGCGTTCCGCCGTGAAGTTATTTGGATGAGAACGTTCGACCCAGTACTGGTGGTATTGCTGTGTTTCCTTTAGCTTTGCTCTTTGGGGAACATGGCGGGCAGGGAGGAGGTCACACGGCCTGCGACCAGGGACACAAACCGACCCTTGCAAGGGGACGCCGTCTTCCCCTGGGGGTGAGCTGGAGTGTCAAGCTGGACCTCACGGAGGAAGGCAGGTTGGCGAGAAGGCGGGATGAAGCGAGAAGCGGAAGTGGAGGGGTGCTTCCGGAAGTGCGTCACGTCACCGGAGCCAATGAGGTTTGCGCTTCCTTGTGCGTGCTGGGGTGCACGTGAAGTTAGACGGTGGGGCGGGGGAGGCGTTTGCCGTGAAGTTATTTGGATGAGAGCATTTGACCCAGTGCTGGTGGTGGTCCTGTTTCCCTTTTTAGCTTTGCTCTTTGGGGGACATGGCGGGCAGGGAGGATGAGGAAATGGAGGAGGTCACACGGCCTGCGGTGTGTGACTGGGGACACGAAGCGACCCTTGGAAGGGGACACCGTCTTCCCTGGGAGGAGCTGGACCCCACGGAAGGAAGCAGAATGGCGGAATGAAGCGAGAAGCGGAAGTGGAGGGGCACCTCCGGAAGTGCGTCACCTGATTCCAGCCAATGAGGTTTGGGCTTCCCTGTGCGTGCGGGGTGCATGTGAGGTTAGAGGGTAGGGGGAGAGGTGTTCGCCATGATCTTATTTGGATGTGAGCGTTCGACCCAGTGCTGGTGGTGTTCCTGTTTCCCTTTTTAGCTTTGCTCTTCGGGGGACATGGGCAGGGAGTGCAAGGAGGAGGCGGCCAGAGGGCCTGCGGCGAGTGACCGGGGACACCGTCTTCTCGGGGTAGGAGTGAGCTGGAGTGTCTGGCTGGACCCCACGGAGAAAGGCAGGATGGCGGGAAGACGAGATGAAGCGAGAGGCGGAAGTGGAGCGGCACTTCCGGAAGTGCGTCACCTCATCCCAGCCAATGAGGTTTGCGCTTCCTTGTGCGTGCCGGGTGCTGTTGAGGTTAGGCTAGAAGAGTAGGGAGAGAGGCGTTTGCCATGATATTATTTGGGTGGGAGTGTTCAACCCCGTGCTGCTGCTGTTTCCTTTTTTAGCTTCGCTCTTCGGGGCCGGGGGACACTTGAATGAACTTAGGCAAACGGGACAAACCCATAAAACCGGAACTTAAGATCTGAAAACGGGAACACCGGACCCCGGAAGCCCCACTTCCGTCCCTATGCCCGTCCCCACCCTATGACGCGTCTCCAGAGCGACGACCACCTGGACGTGCAATAAACCGTCTCTGTGCAAATGGAGTCGGCGCGCGCATTCTTTTTGTTTCAGATTTTTTCCCCCCCTGCTATTTGTGACTTTCACCCCCTTGTGTGTGTGGCGTGGAGGGTTCTTTATCTTTTCCGCCCAAATGTATCACAGTTCTTTCCTCCGTCCCGATGGTGGCGGCCATTTGGTTCTCCCTCATCTTTTCAGATTTGATTCAAATGTCACCTTGTACGGGAGGCTTTCTCTGGCTTGGGGAAAAACGAATCACACTATCTTATGTGTGCGCCGCTTTAACGCACCTTTATGTTTTCTGTGTATCTCACGCTTTGGTGTTTGTTTTTTTTTTAGTATTATTATTTATATATGTTTTTTTTTTTTTTTTTTTTTTTTTTTTTCCATGTTGTAGATGTTGACGCTTCGGGCTTGAGTGCTCTCCTCTTTGCCCCTTCAGGACAACGTGAATCCTGCCTCCTGGAAATAGTCGTTATTTTAGGGGCTAGCAGATTTCACGCTGCATGGTAGGTCTTGAGCCAGCTGACTATGAATCATGAACATCTAACTTTGGGGGTATAAATGCAAGTAATAAGGCAGGTAAAAAATCTTTCTTAACAAGTCAAATAAAAAAATCGTACGTCAATACTATATACTTATTTTTGTGTGTGTGTGCGCAATGTATCCATGATTAATGTGTAAAGTGTGCAATGAGAATAATATGATGGTGCTTGTATGATACCATTCTGTACTTACCAGTGTTTGTGTCTTTTTTCCATTTTAGGGCGCTGGGACGAGCAGGGTGCGGCTGTTCTAGATCATGTCTTTCGTCAGCACAGGTGCATTTATCCGGTGAGAAATTTGCCGGGTCAGAGGATGTAAGGTTGTTAAGCTTTTGCAAATACTGACAAGGACAAGCGCCTCAAGTGGTTGCTCTTCCATCGTGGTCAGCAACGTATTTGGGCATTCCCCATCTTTTTCATTGTATGCACTCTCGTGGGAGGGGGAGTATGCCATGGAGGTTTTGCATTTGATTTTGATTCGTTGCATTCTCATCTCTGATGGCTGGGGGAAGTTGAGCACCTGATTGATCATTATTCAGCCATCCATCTCCTCTTTTCTGAAATGGCTGGCTCAAGTTGTTTTTTTTGTTTTGTTTTCTTTCATTTTTCTATGGAGTTGTTGTGTGTGTTCTTTCACGTTATTTTTGTTTCTTTGTTTTGAGTCAGAGTCTCACTCTCATTGTCCAAAGCTAAGGTGAGTGCCGTGGCGTCAGCCTCGCTCACAGCACCTCCAACTCTGGGTCAAGCCATCCTCCTGCCTCAGCCTCCTCCTGAGTAGGCTGGATACAGGCAATGCGCCACCATGCCCAGTGATTTTCTATATATTTTTAGTTGTCCCACTAATTTCTATTTTTAGTAGAGACGGGGTCTTGCTCTTGCTCAGGCTGGTTTCGAACTCCTGACCTTGAGCCATCCGCCCTCCTAGGCCTCCCAGAGTGCTAGGATTACAAGCATGAGCGCGTAATCAAAACAATTACATAATCCACTTCGTTTTCCATTTAAAAACCACACCCGGCCGCTTTTACATCTTATATTTAGATCTACGATCCATTGGAATTTAGTTCTGTGTATGTTGCAAGGTGACAGTATAGTTATTTTTCCCCCTGTGGCTTTCATTATATTCTCCAGGAATTTGAGTTAATGTAAACAGGGGATCTATATGGCTCTTGCTTTGTATTAGAAAAGAAAATAGAGCAGCTCAGAGAGCCACTTTCTGTAAAATATTTAATAATATGTGGGATGCAAGGTAGCAAAAAGGTGAAGTTGGGAATGACAGGAATAGAAGGGTAACACCGTGGCATGTACTGCTTGAAGAGCTCGTGAAAGTGGTCAGAATCGATATGGATACAGCAAGGAACTTTGCCTGAAAAGAAAAAAAAAAAAAAAGAAGAAAAAAAATAGAAAACAAAAAAAGAATCGATATGGAGAGATTTGCGTTGCAAACCCTGACAAAGCTAGGAAAGCCATGAAGGGAAGGTTGTCCTGCAGGAATGCCTAAAGATGAGACTGTCACAAAAGACCTGCAAAAACCACAACCTTGCAGAAAGACCACCACAACCTTACCCAAAAAGTCCTTTGTGAAGAGTTATCCCCAGCAACTGCCTATCCAGCCTTGAACTATTGTTGATCCTTGTAGCCAAGAATAATCACTTCAAAACAATTACATAATCCACTTCATTTTTCCTTCAAAAACCTTTGTCTTTTCTGCTGAAATTTGGCCAAGAAAAGAAAAAAAAAATTTAAGAAATTAAAAATTAACAAAAAAGAAAAGGAAAAAAAAAATCCAAAAAAAAAACAAAAACAAAAACACCTTTGTCTTCCTTTACACCTCATCAACTATGCACATAGCTGACTATGGCATTCATATTCCCATTGCAATGCCCATTCCAGAATAAATATCATTTTCTCTGAGAGCCTCTCTCTGTCTGTTATGTAGGGTGACAATCTTTAAAATTGTGAATATTTCCAAAAGGTTTCTTGCATTGCCAAATGGACGGAGGTGTGATGGATTATTTCAAGAATTTCCCTGAAGTATACGGATGACTCAGCATTAAGATTGATCCAGAAGTACAGTCTTACTTGATTTCAAGATGATGTGTATAAACAGTCACTGTAATGATTATTGTTGTATCTGGGGGAAGACTTTGGCAGGGTTCAGAGAGACACACAGCACTTGCTTTGGTTCTTATCTTTTCAGATTTGATTCAAATGTCACCTTTTATGTGAGGCTTTCTCTGGCTCTGAGAAAAATGAATCACTATCTTATTTGTGTGCCACTTTAACTCATATTTATGTTTTCCATGTATCTCATGCTTTGATTTTTTTTATTTATAATTTTTTTTAATCTTTTTTTACTTTTTATTTCCATTTTGCAGATGAAGATGCTTTGGTCTTTTTTTTTTTTTTTTTTGAGACAGAGTGTCACTTTATTGCACAGGCTAGAATGAGTGCCATGGCGTCAGCCTCGCTCACAGCAACCTCAATCTCCTGAGCTCAAGCAATTCTCCTGCGTTTGGTTGTCCAATTAATTTCTTTCTATTTTTAGTAGAGACGGGGTCTCAATCTTGCTCAGGCTGGTCTTGAACTCCTGACCTTGAGCAGTCCTCCTGCCTCAGCCTCCCAGAGTGCTAGGATTACAGGCATGAGCCACCATACCTGGCCGATGCTTTGGTCTTAATTACTCTCTTCTCTGTTTCTTGAGGACATGAATCTTGTCTTATGGAAATA